CTGATACGGTGGGTTTTTGATCTCAGCATGGTACCGAGTTAAAACTGATAAGCTTTTGTGCTTCATCTGTAGTACTACCTCTGATGAGAAGCTCTGTACTTGCTTTAGCTGGGTTCGTTTTGAGTGCTTGTCCAGGTGTTCCACTCGCTCGCTCGCCCTGATCGAATAATTACCCATCCCTCTGCCCGTCATTGAATACCAACTGCTGCAAATTCTCTGCATCGCTGAGTTTTTGCATTTTCCTCTGAGGCTTTATGTTTCCGTCTTTCAGCTGCCCGCCTTCATTGCGCGCATTTACTTGTGGAAGGAATGGTCGCCGCTGACCCTCGGAATTAAGCTGATTCCCCCCAGTTTCTTGGCTGCGCACTCGCGAAATTAGCCTAAAACCCCTTATTGATTGGGCAGCACTTCCCACGGTGTGACTGTGCTTCATTGGCCGCCGGTTCGGTTCAGTTGCCACATTGTGTAAAATCTTACCAGCTGCATTATTGGCACGTACTTCTGTGCAGTTCCGAACTTTGCTGGTTATGTGTTCGACTGTCGCTGTCCACTTGTGCCTCCCAGCGGCCATTGGGCTGTTTGGTGGTGACGGTTGTAGAGTTCGGCACGATGACCATGCCATTTATAACAATTCCACAAATTTTCTAATTTTCATTCCCTTCCTTTCCTTTTCCTCTTCTTTTTTTGGCTTTTTTCCATTCTTTCCTATTATCACTTTCTGTTGAGTTTGCTGTTGGGGCTTGATCCCAGATGGGCACATCACATCCCCGAGGCGACAGTGTAAGGCAAAGTGCCCATCGTGCGCTCAGTGGAGTAACGTTTTTTTTTGTTCAGATGTTCCGCGTGAGCTGTGTACTGCTCTGTCGGCGGCTCTCGGCATGTAATTCGGGCTCAGTGCGCTGCTGCGGCTGCTTCATCACACGGCGTCTCATTCACATAAGCAGGCCACGCTGTACCGCTTCCGAACCCGACCCACGTGAGCGGCGTTTTTTCTTTTCTCCATTTGAGCCGCTCTGAGTGAAATGCTAATTGTATTGCGCACGAAGGCACTGCAGCAAACCGTCTGTTTATCCATGACATATTCGTTACGCATTTAACATTATTTCCTCCTAAATCAGCTTTTGGGAAGCACCTTTTTTTGTCAGTTTCATGCTGATGTAGGCGAAGGCGCTTGCCAACGAATGGTTGCTATTGGCACTTGCTACCACTCGGGCTACTTCCGGAATGTCTCCGTCTCTCACTGAGGACGAAATACAGGGAGAGGGGGTTGACTTGGACCAAAATCAATCGTATGGACTGAGATGAAATTTCAGACTGTCACGGAGGCTTTTCTGTCCTTTTACAGTGAAAACTGTGAGTCTGTTTTTTGCTTGTCACATCTTGAAGTTTTAATTGTGTAAAAATAGCTTTAGAGAAGAGAGTGGAAAAGGATGACTTAAAGGTGGATTTGAGGGAACTGGAGGAGGCTTTGAAAAAGAGCGAAGTTGCTGGAGATTCGCAGGAGATTGCCCGACAGCTGAAATATCGGGTGAGTGAAGCAGTTTTGAAATCCTTTCACTTTCCGCGCAGCTGCCATAACTGCACATATTTCTGGTGCAAGCTTCGATATTATAAAATGCGCTCATAAGCCCCTATTTCTCGAACCGCTTTTGTGTAATTTGTATTTGCCGCGCCTACGGACTTCATTTTTTATGCGTTTTGCGCTGTGCAACAGCAATACAAAACTCACATTGTCACGGGGTTGTCTGTGTATGTATGTGTGTATGTGTGTGTGTGTGTGTGTGTGTGTGTGTGTGTGTGTGTGT